GAGCAGGGAGCCCGATGCGGGACTCGATCCAGGGACTCCAGGATCATGACCTGAGCCGAAGGCAGTCGCTTAACCAACTGAGCCACCCAGGCGCCCCGCATAGGTTCATTTTTAATGCATGGATGAATTGTTTATTTCAAATACGAAACTCTCAACAATATCAGTTGACGGCTATGATATTTCTAAAAACAGCCATTTGATTACTTGTAAGATTCCGGCACTGGGAATTCCAGTCGTGGCACTGGGCTTTGGGACCACACTGAGCAATGCCCGTGATTTGATTCCACAAATACCTTCCATGAGCTTTGTTAGGGGTCAGCCATCTTTTCCCATAAAGGGCTAGATAGCAAATCTTTTAGGCTTTGCAGGCCATATAGTGTCTGTATAGGTACTCAACTCTGCTACTCCATTGTAGGGCAAAAGCAACCAGAGACTATGTCAATGAATGGGTGAGTCTGTGTTCCAGTAAAACTTTATTTATAGACACTGAAATTTGAATTTCATAAAATTTTCATGTGTCACAAAATACTATTCTTTTGATTTTTCCAACTATTCAAAACTATAAAATCCATTCTTAACCTGCAAGCTGGGAAGAAAAAAAAAAACAGGCGATGGGACAGATTTGGCCTGTGGGCCATAGTTTGCCAACCCTTGGGCTGTATTATAGTTGACTTCATAATAGACATTTATCAGATTGGGACCTCTGGATCTACCACAATGATATGGTGGACTTATCAAGAAAACCCTTAATTTCAACATGTGTCTGATAACTGCCTTTCATATTTTATATTTCAGCTGGAGTTAACCGAATTTCATACTGGCCTGCTGATCCAGAAATAAGTTTGCTTACTGAGGCTTCTAGTTCTGAAGATGCCAAGTTAGATGCCAAAGCAGTGGAAAGATTGAAGTCAAACAGTCGGGCCCATGTGTGTGTCTTACTTCAGCCTTTGGTGTGTTATATGGTGCAGTTTGTAGAGGAGACCTCTTACAAATGTGACTTTATTCAAAAAATTGCAAAAACATTGCCGGATGCTAACGTTGACTTTTATTCTGAATGTAAACAAGAAAGAATAAAGGAATATGAAATGTTATTTTTGGTTTCAAATGAAGAAATGCATAAGCAAATACTGATGACTATAGGCTTGGAGAACCTATGTGAAAATCCATACTTTAGCAATCTAAGGCAAAACATGAAAGACCTTATCCTACTCTTGGCCACAGTAGCTTCCAGTGTGCCCAACTTTAAGCACTACGGATTTTATTGTGGTAATACCGAACAGATTAATGAAATTCACAATCAAAGTTTGCCACAAGAAATTGCAAGGCACTGCATGGTTCAGGCCAGGTTATTGGCATATCGAACTGGTGAGTTATATGCTTAGTGCATAAATTGGGGCTGACTGGGTTGTATTTGTCTCAGAAGTAAAATGGTATTCATCTCATCTATCGTAGAGTTCATTTACTCTTAGATAGTCGAGTTTTGCTGGTCATTATATGTGTAGAAGTTAGTGAGATCCTTGAGTAGACACCTCTTAGAGCAGTATTTGGGTTCCTGTGGCCTTACATTCAGTGCTACATTTATAAATCAGGGCCTGATTATCTAGGCCCTTCTGCTTCCTGCTTTTGTCATCTCGTTGATCACTGAGCCCTCCACTAGAGATGGGACAAAAAGAGAAAGGAGAGAGAAGCAAAATCATTAATTTTTAGTTAACTCTTCAATATTTTGTATGTATTCAGTATTTCATAAAAACTTTAAAAATCTTTACAATAAAAATACGAATTCAAAATAACAGCATTAAAGTAAAGGAATATTGACAAATTCTTCCAATTGCTGGTATGTCTTCAATCAGCAAGTTGAGAAATCAGACGTTTTTACTTTATTAAGTTGAGCATGAGGGTATATGTGAAAAAGGAAAATGTTACTTGGGAATTTTCTTTTTTGTGTTGAAAGATGACATCTGTATTTCCAATTATAGAACAATGTTTTCACATCTTACCAGAGGTAAGATTTTTCAAAGTAGAATCTTGATCACTTTTTTAAATGCAGCTTTGAAGCACGGGGGGGAAAATATAGGCAGGAGGAGCAGTAGAGTAAAATTTGGTGAATGGAGGATTTTTTTTTTTTAGCTTTTCCCAAGAAAGAAGGAGAAGAAAGAAAATCTTAAGAAGAGGTCCATACAAATGCCACTAGTCTGCATTCTAAACAAAGACCACAATCAAAGTACTTTCAGTAGAATGGAGATTCTCAACTGACAGCATATCAGAATCACCATTAAAACTTTTCTTAAAAGTACAAAGGCTTAAATTCCAACCCAGACCTACTGAACTGAGTCCGTAAGGATGTGGCCTAGCTAATGAATTTTTAAAGTTCTGCAAGGGACTCTGATGTTCAGCAGGGTTAATAATCACTCAATTCTTATTAAAGAATTTGGTTCTACTACAGGCGCAAACTATATGACTCCAAACAACTCTTGTGTAAGAGTCTGATTTAATGTCATTATGTTGTATCGTGGGCTATGCATTAGTGTCTTGGCCAAAACGAGCTTTGTAAAGAATTTTTCTCTAAAACCATTCTGGAAGGACAGAAACATAAATGGGTATAGCTGTTACGGCTATAATTCACTAATTCCCCTTTGCTAATAAGAATTCAGCTGATTCCAGAGTGAGATAGGAATGTGCTGTTCTTTTACTTGATCTCAGTACCTCCTGCTTCTCATAGGAGAATCATACCATGTATGATTCCAGTGTTTAAAGATGTGGTAATGTATAGATACAAATATGCATCTATGTTCTTTAGAATATACTCTAATTATAAAGTTATCCACTATTTCTGTGCAGAGTTTTGTACATAAAGGTGTGCTTCTGCTCTTGATGGATAACTTAAAAGATTTTTCAAGGTTAATTTTTTTATTGTGTATGACTTTTTGCCTGGAACCCAAATCTTGAATGGGATGCAACTCTCTGGCATGCACTCCGCTCCACTGTCCACTCTTCCAGGGAAGAGAACCATGTGTTCATCATCGTTTTTTCCTTAGCACTAAGCACAGTGTGTTGAATGGATAAAGGAAATCTTTTTACATCCAAAGGTAGATGGTCCACAATCCTTATCCAAAATTCTTGGAGCCAGATGGAAAGGAGTCCAGAATTTGTCAGATTTTAGAAAGGTAATATGGTTACATATATTGTATATTACACAGCACTCCAGGGGGGGCCTGAGGCAGTACATTGTCATCAAGCACGTACATATGGAGTAAAATGTATGAGTATTTGCACTAAATATTTGGTCAGGTGTGGCCACAAAATAAGTACATCAGGCTGTCCCAAAAAACACTTGATATAAGGGATTGGTAAGGAATTCTGGACCTGTATTCTCCATTGATGATAAATTATAACAATGACAATTTATTGAGCACCTAGAATGTGTCAGGCACAGAGCCAGGCAATTTATATATGTATCTCATTTAACACTGAGGATAATCCGGCAAGGTAGATATCCTCATGATTGAGTGTGCTCCTAATAACTCAGACTTTTAATTTCACGCTGTTCAGTTTCTTTGAAGACTTTATTTCACTCTAGAGGTAAAGACACCATTTCATTAATCCATTTTATTTAAAAATATACGTATGAGTAAAATGAATTCCAAAACCTCTAACAACAGAATTCTAAAAGTAACTAAGAAGTAGGTGCTTATTAATTGCTTTTTGAATGATGAGTAAATAGGAGCCACAGAGTTGTCAATAAAGGACATTTTGAAGTAGCAAAAAAGTAACAATGTTCATTTAGACTGTAGAGGGGAAGAAAGAGGAGGGCACTGCATCTTATCTATCTGGTTCAAGTGTGATTTTTTATCTTTTTTGGGGTCCTCTTTTCCCTTAGACTATGTGTTGTCCAAAGCTGAGGATTATGCCTTCCTCCTAAACCACGACATTGATGATGAATGTAGGTTGGAGTAGCCACAAAAGTTAACTGTTTCAAATCATAACTTGGTGATTCTCAACTTGTAGTATGCCTATGAATCAGAGGGGATGCTCATGAAAAATGCGGGTTCCTGAAAAATGAGATTTCCATGGGAGCCCGGAGGCCTCCCTTTTAGCAAGCACCCAGTGATTCTGATGAAGTGGGCTGTGGACCACACTCGGACAAATGACCACAGAATCAGGAGCTAAATAACCACACCTGTGTTCCAGAACCATGGGATAAAGAGTTCTCTGACTTTCAGTGATCAGAGTCTCAGGAGTTTGGCTCAGTGATTATAAGTTGACCTTTCCTTCAAAGGTATACAGAGAAAACCTTGTGAATGAACAGATCATGGGGAGCAATTTCTGTAAAAATTACAGACATGAAAAGATTCTTGAGAAATTACCTCATCTGTCATCCAGCCTTGGAGCTGTGTGAAATCTACTCCATCTAACATGGATGAAATTTTATTCTGATTTTAAAAGACAGAGTAAAGAATATTCTGTTGGTGTAACTAAACTTAGCTAGGCAGGAGAGCTACATACTGATGGAAAATTACATTTTCCCCCTCCTGACAAGGTTTTAGTCTGTCCCCAGACTGAAACAGGAAAAGTGGCTCCTGAGACTAAAAAAACATAACATGAAAAACACTTGTGTCGATGGTAGGAAAAATAGGCCCTTAACTTAATATGAAGAATTTCTATTTCAGTCTCTCATTTTTTTGTTTCAGGTTTATATATGTGTTAAGGATAATTTTACTTAAAGGTTTTGGTTTTTCAGGCAAATATAATCTTATGTTTATAACTTCTGCCACTTGCCTTAGAAATGAGCGTAAAGCCATAATTGTATTCTTTTTCCCTCATGTTGTGTTCTGAAGGTCTTGGAAGGAACAAAATTTTGTTTACACCAAAATCTCTTTCATGAATCTCCACTCTAGAAGAAGGCTTCCCATACCCTCCATTCCTCATTTCCTTCCTAGCACAGCACAGCACACAGGTGCTTCTGTGTTTGCTTCTTCCTGTCTCCCTCCCACATCGGACTATACATTTCACAGGGACTTCCCTTACGCTGTCTACTTGCACATTCAGTAGAGGGAAATCTTTGTTATGAAATTCTTAACATCAAAGGGAGGGGTAGGTTTCATCTGGAGGGCTAAATTTTAGTCACTTGATTTCTTTGCCTGTTTTCTCATCTAGAAAAGGAAATAGCTGCTTTACCTTTAGGGTAAAAATTAGATGATGGGGTAAAAAATCCTTCAAATAAATTACACAGATGCTTTGTGATATAATTTTGAAAACTCGAGCTTACTTGAACTGAAGATGGGGGATTTCATTATGTTATCATAACTTCTAAAACTTATTTATAAGGCAAACTCGTTTTTAATGCCTAGGTAGGGTAAACTTATCCTTGGGGGGGGATTAACTTTTAGGAAATTGTAGGGTGAAACTACAGTTTCATTTAATCCTTACCAATATGAAAGTGCCCTAGAGTAAGTTCACAGATGATTGGTACTGTCTCTGTGTAAGTGTACCTACTTAATTAACTACATCAGTCCCTTACTAAGATTTTGATAAATACTGTTTTCATAGTTTTCATCATTAGTGTATAATTATCTTAGAAATTTGAAAGTTACCCTTGTATTAGTAGAAAGAAAAAGTCAATCCTTGATATGCAGAATTTCTATTTTGGTTTTTTAAAGCTTTCTGTTTCATAATGGTTTTAAGAAATACAGCTTTATTTGTTGCAGAGGTTTTGGTTCTGCAGGGAAATTATAATCTCATGTTTATAACTTCTGCCACTTGATTCAGAAATGAGCATCATTCACTAAGTTGGCATGCTTTTCCCCTTCAGGTAAACTCTGAAGGTCAGGGAAAGGACTTTCATATATATATGTATATATACGAAAGCCCATAAAAACTTGTTTTTTGTATTATAAGTTTGAACTTTTTTCTTAGCAAGAACATTTCCACGAAATGTATTTTCCATGATTATACTGTTAAAAAAATGGTAGAAGACAGATTTGAGTGTTGTGAATTATTGTTACATTAAATCCATTAGTCTGGAAATTTCTTTTTAAATCATTTTCATCATCTGTTAGAAATAATCTTTTAGAAGCTGACTTAGTGGAGAATCTATAAAATTATACTCTGTTCTAGTTACAGCTTTGAAGTGATCTGACTGTGGGTACTGCCATTTTAATGAGCTCTGCATATAGATCATGTGTGACTGGGTTGATAGTGACACTGCCTAGTTATTTAGCACCTAGTTGCATATTCCATGCTTAAAATATTTATTTTAGTGGTAAATTTTTACTAAATAATGTATTTAGTAATAAAAATGTATTTATTTCTTTATTTCTTTTTTTTTAAGATTTTTAAAAATTTTTTCATGAGAGACAGAGAGAGAGAGAGAGAGAGGCAGAGGGAGAAGCAGGCTCCCAAGGAGCAGGGAGCCCGATGCAGGACTCGATCCCAGGACTCTGGGACCATGACCTGAGCCGAAGGCAGACGCTTAACCATCTGAGCCACCCAGGCGCCCAAAAAATGCTATAAATTAGTTAAGATGTCAAGGATTGTTGCCACATTATGAATTATGTTTCAATAATATGTATTATTTTTGGAAAAGTATTTCTGAAACTAACAAATTTTTTATCTTTACTGAGTTAAATGACATTTATCTTTCAGAGGATCATAAAACTGGAGTTGGAGCAGTCATTTGGGCAGAAGGAAAATCTGTAAGTATGAAAAGAATTCCTTTTTTTGGTAAAGTTTTCATTTGCTTAAGAAATCTCTACACCCAACGTGGGGCTCGAACTCATGACCCAAAGATTGACAGTTGTGTGCTCTTCTGACTGAGGCAGGCAGGCACCCCTGAAAACAATTCTCTAAACGTTTAATCTTGATTTTGTTTAAACACTGTTTGATCTTAAGTGCATTACATTTTTTTGACCCATTGCGGTTAATATTTTGTATTGGTGCATTTACTAAATTTTATAAACATTTGATCATTCCCTCAACAATTGTCTAGATAGATTCATTCATTTAGCAAACATTTATATTAAACATCTTCCACAGCATAGGCACTGTGCCACAGTGGACAGTGGGGAGTTAAGGTCCACATTTTCTGCCCTTGCTGGCCTTAGTCTATTAATGGAGACAGTGGAACAAAAAAGAGACTAGCATATAACGATAATTGTAACATGACACTGGGAGAGCATGGAGGAAGAATCTCTATGCTGCTTGGAGAAATGAATAAAATATTCTTGGAGAAGCTAAGGTGCTATTTATTAGTCTTGAAGAATGCATAGGAAGGCATCAGGCACAGTAAACTAGTATGACTGGGATGATAATATGCAGAGGTAGGGGGTATGAGAGAGAATGTGGGAAAATTCAAGTGATTTGGTGTATCGTATGTACTCTACGTACCATACTATATAGTAGAGTAGCAAAAAATTAGACTGGGCCATGAAGAAATTTGCATACCATGTAAAGAGTTTGAACTTTATCTTTCCGACAGTGGGATACTCTAGTGCTAACCAGTAGAAGTAAAATGTAAGTCACATACATAATTGTAAATTTTCTAGGAGCCACATTGAAAAAATAAAAGGAAACAGGTGAATTAATTTTAAGAATATATTTTATTTAATCAAATGCCCAGAAATATTATTTCAACATGTAATCAATATGAAAACTATTAATAAAATATTCTGCATTTTGGGGGAGTATTAACTCTCCATAATCCTGTGTGTAGTTTACACTTACAGCACCTCTCAATTCAGAATAACCACATGTGGCTAGTGGCTACTGTATTGGACAGTGCAATCCAAGAATATTTTAAGTGGGAAAATGATTTGATCAGATTTACATTATAAGGGGAATGAAGTGGGGCTACACAGCAAATAGGGAGTTAATAAAAAGGAGGTGATGAGGATTGGAGTTGCAGGGGTGGGTTGGAAGGGCATGGAATCAAGAGACACTTAGTAACTGTAAGACTGACTCAAAGATGAGTAGGGAGCCTAGGTTTTGCCTCACTAGACTTTATAGCAAGTAATTTGACTGTTTTCCTGGATGTATCATAGCCCCTCAAGTTAACCTGGCCAACAATCTAGTATCTTCCCTGCTAACCTATTCCTTCATCGGTGGTCACCATCCCGTTCCCTGTTACTACACACATATAATCAACCACCAAGTGCTATGGATTCCACCTTCAAAAGATCTCCTGACTCTACTTATCTCTACCCCAACTATTACTACCTACCAGAATAGGTTCCTCCACCAAAAACTCCCATAGCATTCTGTGCAACTTTTTTGTGACACTCATCACAGTTGAAATTATATGCACAATTTCTTAGCTCCAGATTATAAGGTTCATGAGGGCCAGGATTCTCTGTTTTATTTATAGCTATATTCCTGGCACCTGGCACAGTGCCTGGCCTATGGTTGGAACTCTCATTTGTGTTTATATGAATGCTCAGCAGCCTTTGACTTAACCTCTGGTTCTCAGGTGCTTGTAAGAATTTAAGTTTCCAGTCAAGCTAACTATAGTGGGCAGCATGGTAAAGTAGAAAGACATGGGTTTGGAGTCCAGCAACCTGGGCTTGAATTCTGGCTATGTTGCTAGCATTGTGACCCTAGATAAGTTTAATCTTTCTGGGCCTCAGTTTCCTTATCTGTAAAATGGAAAAACTAATAGTACTACTGTCAAGGTTGTTGTGAGGAGTGATTAAATGAAATAATACATATAAAACTCAGCATGATGTTTGACATGTAGTAAATGCTTAAGAATAATTTATTATTATTACCAGTGAGATAACATTTTATTTGTAAGCTTTTGTTGGCTCATCATAACAATGATTTTTATCGAGTTGCCATACTAATGAGTCTTTTGAAACTATCACATGAATAGATATAATATATTGAAATTTACTGAGGTTTATGGCATATTCTAAATTACTATAAACACTTATGATTTATAAAATAGTTCACTCTAGTAACTGATAAAGCATTCATATTATATGTAATATGCCATTGACTATGAGACTTAAAAAAGAGCCACTTAAGTAAAAAGTTCCATTATAAATATATATATTATATGCATATAATATATATATATATATAAATGTACAAGAGAGCCTCAATAAATATGAAGATTAAAGGAAAGTACATTTTGTGGGGGGCACCTGGGTGGCTCAGTCAGTTGGGTGTCAGCTCGGGTCATGATCCCAGGGTCCTGGGATCTAGGCCAGAGTCTGTCTCCTTGCTCAGCGGGGAATCTGTTTCCTCCCTCTCCCACTGCCCCTCCCCCTGCTTGTGTTCTCTCTCTCTCTCTCTCTTTCTTGCTCTGTCTCTCTCAAATAAATAAGTAAAATTCTTTTAAAAAATTTTAAAAAGGAAAGCACATTTTTTATTTTTCAACTATCACAAAGCATATTTTTAGTTCAATAGTAGAAATTGTTCAAAATTTTTTTTATTATTATGTCAATCACTATACATTACATCATTAGTTTTTTTTTTTTTAAAGATTTTATTTATTTATTTGAGAGAGAGAGAATGAGAGACAGAGAGCATGAGGAGGAGGGTCAGAGGGAGAAGCAGACTCCCCGCCGAGCAGGGAGCCCGATGCGGGACTCGATCCTGGGACTCCAGGATCATGACCTGAGCCGAAGGCAGTCGCTCAACCAACTGAGCCACCCAGGCGCCCCACATCATTAGTTTTTGATGTTCAAAATATTTTTCCAATTTCTGACTTGTTAACCAGTAGAAAACAGCATATACCAAATTAACAATTATTTATTGAGGACCTATTATGTATGGGACACTCTAACAGGTGTACTTTAAGGCATAGAAAAGAGGCATAAAACATGTTTCTGTTCTCTAGGATCTTATAACCCATTTGGGGAGAGATGTCTGAATCAAGTGAAGTAATTTGTGAATTAAACAAGCTAATGTTTAATTAACAGCCAAAACCAAGGACTGCCTTGAGATTGTATATTAGAAATGATCAGTCTTCTTGGAATTTAGCTTTGACAAGACCATACTGCAGTAGGAGGATGTAAGATTGTATTTTTTTTGGTCATAGAAAATGGAATTAGTTATATACAGTATGATATGAGGCTTTAAAATACACTGCCAAGTGCCTTTTTTTAGAATGCTGACAACTCACCTTTGTTGGTTTGCTCACTATCACAGAGAAGTTGTGATGGAACAGGCGCGATGTACTTAATAGGATGCGGTTATAATGCTTTTCCTGTTGGATCTGAGTATGCTGACTTCCCACACATGGATGACAAACAGAAAGACAGAGAAATAAGGAAATTCAGATACATTGTACATGCGGAGCAGAATGCCTTGACATTTAGGTATGAAATTCGTTTGCATGTCTTTCTTGAAAACGTAGCAAGGCTTTAAAAAAAAAAATGTAGCAAGGGTTAGTTGAAATTCATTTTCTTTTACCTTAATTTATTCCAAGCATTTATTAAATATCCAGTAGGTACTAGATAAGGGTCAGATCTTTTGGCTCCTGTGATGAGCTAATGTCTAATCTCTCACGGTAAACGCATAAGGAAGATGTTAGTTCTAGCCCCTAACTGTGGCATTATAAAGTTCTTCATGTAGAGAGCATTGTTCTTGCTCTCCTTCTCTCCCTCTCTTTCAGTGTCTGTCTTTTCCCGTTTTTATTTATAATCTAATACCGAGCATCTTACTGATTGCTTAGAATAAATAAATGAGTTTTAATTATAATAATTGTCATGTTCAGATTGTATATTAACATTTTATGAGTTTATATATTTTGTATATTCACTAATTCGGCAAGAATAAAGTTTATTATTGTTTATAATGTAAATCCGTTCTAAAATCAGCTCAATTTTAGTGTTTAAGGATTTCTCTAAAATATAACTCCCCTTTTGGAAGATACCTTTCTAATATTTATAAATTTTTTGTAGGTGTCAAGAAATAAAACCAGAAGAAAGAACTATGATTTTTGTCACAAAGTGCCCATGTGATGAGTGTGTACCTTTAATTAAAGGTGCAGGCATAAAACAGATCTATGCCGGGGATGTAGATGTTGGAAAAAAGAAGGCAGACATCTCTTACATGAGATTTGGGGAACTTGAGGGTGTTAGCAAATTTACAGTAAGTAGATATACATTTTATTCAAGTATACTTTCTATTATATTGTTAGGTACCCTGCTGAATATTTTAAATTAGTGATTCCCACACTTTAAACTATTATCACTGAGTTTGTTTTTATGTGCAAGCACTCACCTAATTACAAATGTTCAGCTTAAAATCTCTGTCTTAATGAATTTATAGGTCTCTAGAGAGTTGACCTTACAGATCTTGAATTAATCGTCCCTTTGGTGCCCTCTGGTGGCTAACAAAAGAAAATCCTTGACCCACCTCTTCCCTCGCTCTTCTGGTGTTCGGGTGGTAGAGGTGAAAATAGTTTAGGATTACCCAAAAGACAGGGAGACACACACACACACACACACGCACGCACGCACACGTGCACTCATGACACATTTCTCATGGAAAAAATCAGAAAAAGAAGGGATTTAATATTTGATATTTCAAAAAAAGTACTGAGATAGTTCATGGGAAACTTAGAACTTTAACTATTTCACTATGTAGGTTTTTAAAAACTTCTTTTTAGAAACAATCACAAACATACAGAAAAGTTACAAAAATGCTACAAAGAACTTTTTTTTCCCCAGAAACCTTTGAGAGTAGCTTGTTGACCTGATAACCAGATCACTCTCAAATAGTTTGTTATATATTTCCTCAAACAGTAGATTTTCCTACAAAACCATAATACAACAACAAAACTCGGGAAATTATCATTGATACATTACTGCTGTTTCATCCACAGGTTCCAAAGTTCACCAGTTGTCCCAGTGTTCTATAGAGCAAAAGGATCCTGCCCAGAATCATATGCTGCTTTTTAATAATAATTCTGGCATTTAATGTAACACTTAAATACAAGAACTTGCAGTAGGTATAAAAGGCATATAACTGTTTATAAATTTCAAGTTTACTGGGGCACCTGGGTGGCTCAGTTAGTCAAGCAACCGACTCTTGATTTCGGCTCAGGTCATGATCTCAGGGTCATGAGATTGAGCCTCATGTTGGACTTTGCCGTCAGCAGGGAGTCTGCTTGAGATTCTCTCCCTCTGTCCCTCCCCCCCACTCACTCTCTCTCTCTAAAATAAATAAATAAATCTTAAAAAAATTTCCAGTCTACATTCCTGTTTTGAGTCCACAGTGCCTGGAACATATAAGGCACCAAAAAGATATTTTTTAAACTGTCTATATATATGTATACGTACACTTATATATTTATATTTTTAATTTATATTTAAAAGTTTAAAACTATAAAACATATTGTCTAGTTTCTGTGTGTGTATGAAGTATCATAAATGTTTACCCTTTTTATTTTTGTCATTTATTTTTGGTTTTTTATTTCCAGTTTTATTTAAAGTTTATCGTGATTTTTAAAAGAAAAAGAGGGCCCTGAAAGAAAGGAGAGATGGGAGAGGTGCCTCTTTTGTAAAAGTAAACAGAAGCTTATATCCAGCTAGTCAAAGGGAAATCTCCAGTTCTTTGTTTTTGTTTTCTGTGTCTTCATTCCTCCTGAGGAGTGGGAAGAAATAGGTTTTTCACAACTTCTCCATAAAGATGAAATGATCTAGCTCTTCAGAACTGTGACTGACAGATTAAGTGAATTCTGAAATATGTTGCTTACTGGTGGATTTGAGTAGCTTTGCCACTGTAAAGAGCATGAAGAGACCAGAAGAAAGGAAGATACAGTGACAGAAACAGAGGGAATGAGTCCCCTGGGCAGAGATGAGCCAAGACCCGCCAGGAGTACCCCACTCAGGTGCACATGGTTCTTCTCTGTGCTCCTTCCAGTGACAGCTCTCTCCACCTTCCCATCCTGTCCCTCCTCTGGCCTGGTTTGCAGTATTATGTAAATGATTTCAACTACCTGCTTCGCTAAATGCCTAGTTTTGTAAATACCAGTGACTAACATGAACTAATATTCATTCTAAATTTGAATGTCAGTAATGATTATACTTATTTTTAGATTGTCAAGAGTGGTATAGGAGTGTCCAAAAAATGATATTTTTTTGAATATTTTATTTATTTATTTGTCAGAGAGAGAGAACACAAGCCGGGGAAGCGACAGGCAGAGGATAGAAGCAGGCTCCCCGCTGAGCAGGGAGCCCGATGCAGGACTCGATCCCAGGCCCCTGGGATCATGACCTGAGCCGAAGGCAGACGCTTAACTGGCTGAGCCACCCAGGCACCCCCCAAAAATGATATTTTTAAGATTAAAGCAAATTGAAATTAATTTTGTTTGAAAAGTTTTGCTTTTCTCTTTGAGGTGTTGCCACATACCTTGTGATAATTGGTTCTGTTCTGTGGGATTGTTGCAGACTAGGTTAGGGCTGAGCAACCGTATTTTCAGGAATAGATTTCACCAGTGTAGGCCCATGTCCATTTATTCAGAAACTTTTTTTTCTATTTGATACATGTGGATTTTTCTCTATTAGGTTGTATTACTTTTTTCTTTTAAAGATTTTATGTATTTATTTGAGAGAGAGAGACACAGTGAGAGAGGGAACACGAGCAGGGGGAGTGGGAGAGGGAGAAGCAGGCTTCCTGCGGAGCAGGGAGCCCGAT